TTTGGAGGAAGTAACAATTGAATGCACCACTCAGGTGCATCCCAGCTGCTACTGTAAGGGTTTGCTCGCTGTTTTCAATAAAGATCTGAACAGTTTCAATGTTTGCATTAGTTTAGTCAGATTGAGTTTGTTTATACTTTTTGAAGATCGACCACATTTTTAGTCATAAATTCAGAAATTCCAAATTGTTCACATCTCTTTCTCCCGACGTGTGTATGCGCTGAAGAAGGAGCTCTGAGACGATGCTGTATGTGCAGCACTTTTAGGAGATGGCGCCAGTGTGTCGCTGTACTGAAGAGGTTTCAATGACACAGAGCCACAGGGAAGCCTAAGAGAAAATGATGTTTTATCTTCAGCTTAGCCGTTGTACAGAAGTCCAAAGAACTGAAATTTTTAAGATTAAAAATCTTAAAAATTGATGATGCCCGTGTGGTTTGACCTCATGGGTCTCAGCCCCGACTCTCCAGAGGACGAATCTGGAATCAAGAAGGCAGCAGAAAACATCAAGGCCATAATCGAGCACGAGGCCAGAAATGGGATCCCTCCAAACCGTATAATACTTGGCGGTTTCTCTCAGGGTGGGGCCTTGTCCTTGTATACCGCCTTGACCTGCCAGCACCAGTTGGCTGGTGTTGTGGCCCTCAGCTGCTGGCTTCCACTTCACAGGAGTTTCCCATCGGCGTCAAGTGGCAATAAGAACCTCCCAATCCTGCAGTGCCACAGTGAGATGGACGCCTGTGCAGTTTGGTGCCATGACGGCAGAAAAACTCAAATCCATAGTCAACCCTCAAATGATTACCTTTAAAACCTTCCCAGGGCTCCCTCACAGCTCCTGTCCTCAGGAGATGGCAGCTGTAAAGGAATTTATCGAGAAGCTTTTGCCCCGGATGCCATGCTGCTTCTTTCCTTTTTTTTTTTTTTTAAATAAATGTGATCAAATATCATGGAAGTATATGATCAGAGTCCAACAGAAATAAGGCTAATCAGTGGATTAAAAAATAAATAAATAAATAAAATCTTAATTGTGATAATGTCCTAAACAGGTAAAAGTAAAAAAAGCACAGGCTCTGAATTGTACTCAAAGTAAGTTTGCTCTTTGCTCCTTGAAGGACGGTTTTACTACCAGCTGTTTTTATGCAAGGGTAGCTCAGCCTTGTGCTATATTAATATTATAATAAAATAATATTAGTACATAAGAATGCAAATGTTATGCAAATTGAAATTCTAATTCTAAT